GATGCTTGAGCTGCTATGGCCCTATATTTAATCATATCCACTCAAACGGCCTTTAGCCGCGAGTACCAAACTGTATGGGGTCGATATTTCTATCCTATGTCGCACATAGCCTTATCTAATGGTTCTACGCTAACCGTCAATGGAGCATAATGTGTATGTCAATAATATAACACAACATTCATGTTACATAGTCATAACTTTCAATAAATCATAAATGTTATTTTGATTGCTACAGGCATGTGCATGCTTGCATGTGTTTGATCCATGTTCAATGTTGTCTTTTTGTTTTAAAAATGATTGGAGGCATACAAGTGAGCAAAGGAATCAATGGCATGAAAAGATGAAGATCCAAAAGTGCATGAAAAACAATTGCATAGAAAATGAAGTCCAAAAATGCATGAAAACACAAGTCGCGAGCGCGCCTTGCAAAGTCGCGAGCGCGAGATGCACACATGAAGGTCAGTGTGTTATCAGGCACAAGTCGCGAGCGCGAGAAGTGCCAAATGAGAGTCAGAGAGTTTCAGGTGAAAGTTGCGAGCGCGCAGTGCAAATTCGCGAGCGCAAGAAGTGCAGTGCGAGCTCGTCATGCAATTCGCGCGCGCGCGTCGCGTTTTCCAGCCTACACAGTCTGTACTCTTTTGGTCATATCTCTCAATATACAGCTCCATATACAACTCCAATTTGAATCATTCAAAAACCCATGTAAAGATAACACATAGAGGAACAAATAACTCTTCTATAACACTTCCTAATTCCATCATTAAATGGGGTCAAAATCAAGATGAAAAGATGGAAGTTACTGGTATAAATTGTCCAGCATTTCCAGCAAAACCTGTTTCAGCATAAACTCACTATTTACTTCATTTATTCAATTCCTCCCCTGTTTTCTCACCATTACCAGTCCTCCCACTCAACATGCAGCAATATATTGTCTCATTAGCAACACACCACACAATTTCGCAAGCAAAGAAAATGGTAAATGAAAGGAGATATCAAACCTTCACTCCAAAAAGCTTGAGTTTTTCTTTAGCTTCCTTTTTCTACTACCTTTGAACTCACTTCACCTATAAATAAGAATTCTTATGAATATTCTAAAAATAACACCAAATGATTCAATTATGAACTTCAAGAAGGTTTACTTACTTAAAAATTGAAGTTAAGGCTTAACTACCATTAAAATTGAAAGGAAGGTGGAAGAGGAAAGGAAGAAAGGAAGAAAATGAAGGAAGATGGAAGATAAAGATGAAAAATGGGGAAAGTAAATGGTTATTACGGTTAGGCCATCAAATATCCAAATGAATCTTATGTGAAATCCTAAATGTACCTCAATTGTCAACAGGTTACGATTAAGACCCAAGCTTGATCTTTTAATGCAAAAATCTCAACCCATATCTTGATCTTTTTCTCTTCACTCAAGTAAGTCCGACTTATTAATCTCATTCTACCCCAACCGGGTTGTTCAACTCGACTACTCACTCTCTGAGTGAATGAGTCGTGTATAACTCATTCACGTCTTTATACTTTGTCAAAGAAAATTGCCAACTTTTCTTCTTTTTCAAATAACACGTTTTTCTTTTCTTTTTTTTTTCAAAGCTGGTGGGTCCCATATGTCGGGGGACCCACAACAAAAGTATGGTGTTTACATCTGCAACATTTGCTTCTGCTATGAATAATCTTATACCAGATGACAGCTTATTTCGCAAGTGTACGAATCGCTACAAGTAATATATGATGAGTAAGATATCGTTCCCACGAGGATTGTATTCCAAGTACCACAATTATGTTATCTCGTTATTATTTAAACGATCTTTCTTTCTTTTTTTTTTTTTTTTTTTTTTGATAAAATTTTTTTTTTTTTTTTTTTTTTTTTGATAAAATAGATATATTGAGAAATATTTTTAGAAAGACAATAGTTACTGATATAAATTATACTATTTTGATGTTTAAATGCATGAAATCTGAAAATAAAACTAAGACTTAACATGTAGAAAAATTACAAGATAATCAATGATATGTATGAGAAAATATAGATTATTATTATTACTTGCATCTAGAAAAATTACAATATAATCAATGATTTAAAAAGAAAATATGTAGATCACTTATATTCTTTATTATGACTATAGATATGATTACTTATATCTTACTTCTATTAAAGATGTTGCGATTGAAAGCATATGATACAATTGAAGTCCACTAGAAATGGCAATGCAACAAGATGAGTTTTGCAAATTGCCATCACTGCCCATTAGGAGAGATGAAATTCTCATCTTTAAAGTCAGCTCCCAAGTATATGAATGATGCTACAGTAGACAACCATGACTAGAGTTTTCATTGCCAATATTCATCTAATCTTCATAAGTCAGTTCTTTTTTGTAATCTTCACGTGGAATTATGGTGTTCATTTATTATTCAGCTATGTGTTCTGTTATTCTATTTTCAAGAACAAAATATTTATTTATGCTAGACAATAATTTCATCATGTTGGAATTTCGTCTCTTAGAACCTCGATATTACGAGGAAGAAAAATTTTGGTATCAGATTGGAGAATGTACTTATAGTTTATGTGAATTTATCTAAATCTTTCCAATTTATCTGTTATGAGTTTAACTGTGCTTCAATTCTTTTTATGCTTTCGATGATGTCCATTGTTTCGATTCTCAAAAGAAGACTTTGGATTTGAAATCCAACAAGAAAGTGATTTGGCTCAACAATATTGGTTAGTTGCAAAAGAGGGAATATGATCAGAATTTGATCATATTCTGATCATATTTTTTTTTCACTAGGTCAGTTAATATGATCAGAATTTGTTTTTACCTATTTATATAATTATTTATTTCATAATTTAATGTGATATGAGTACATAAATGTTTTTTAAAATATCATAAGTTTTATGTAAATACATACTATATAAATTGTTCTAAATTTAATACAAATGTATAAAATTATTTATGATATAAATCAATTTACTGCAAAAAAGATCACTCGCAGCATTGCGCGGGCTTAAAAAATTAGTTTGGAACTAAAACTTAATAATTATTGTGCATATATATAAAAAAGATATTAAATAATTTTTAATATTCTCAAACAATAAATACTTATTTTCCTCAAAAAAAAAAAAAAAAAAAAAAAAAAAAAAAAAAAAAAACTTTATGGAGAAAAACCCACCTCTAAAATGACTTGCGATTGTGAATAGATGGTAGTGTTTTCAAACCAAAATAAGAAGGGGAAAACCAAAAGCAAACAAGACAAAAAAAAAAAAAAAAAAAAAAAAAAAAACTTATGGAGAAAAACCCACCTCTAAAATGACTTGCATTTGTGAATAGATGGAGTGTTTTCAACCAAATAAGAAGAAAACCAAAAGCAAACAAGATAATAGTAATGACCTCTCAAAATTTACTACATTATAATATTTTTTTATGCCTCCTTCATTAAAATAATTTAATATGCTAATATATTGAATTCGAAAAGATTAAAAATAAATATTACATGTAAATAATTTTATGTTACACAAATACTTATTAACAAATATATGTAACTGGCAAATATATTACTTCTACTGCAAGACTTTGAATATATAAAGATTTGTTTATTTAGAATCAATTGCAACTTTGAGCTTTACTTACTTTTACAAATTTTTTATTTCTTATTGTTTGTTATTTTTCTTTTATATTTGTTATTTTTTATAATTTTTGTCCCCTTTCTTGAAATTTTATTTCTTTAAATTTGTCTTGATGTCTTTTTCTTGAAATAGAGTTTTTTAACATTTTTCTTGGTACCCTTTTCTTGAAGTCATTTTATACTTTTGATTTCTTTTTTTTTTTTTTTTTAATTCGGTTCTTTCTCCGAAATTGATAGGTGGAGAAGTCAATTCATCAGGTTAAAAAAGTTGAAACTAATGCTGCGTAGCAAATAACAAAAATAATTAAAGAGGTGAAATTTTTTTCACCTAAATTCAATAGAGAAATAAAAATTAATGCCCAAGTATATGACTAGTTTATTACAATTTTATAAACATATATTTATTAATCCATTAATCATTAGTGAATTATAATTACTGGCAGCATTGATGGAACCATACTTCAAAATTTGGGGGCTAAAAGTAAATTTTCAAAAATATTTATGAACCAAATAAAAAATAATTTCACGGTTTTGTAATAGAAAATTTTTGTAAAAAAAAAAAAAAAAAGATTTAGTCAAATATTATTTCAACTCGCAACTTCATCGTTCAGCCAATACAAATAATTGAAGTGTGTTCTAACCCTAACTTAAATGACATACTTGCTTCAGCAGACTCTGTTACGATTTGTTTTGTGCTCCAAAATTTCTGAGTTTGGAAAATGTCGCCTTCCCAATCTAATTGTCACCGATTTACAGGTGAAAGCAATAAAAATATTTTGACCTTTTGAAAATTGAAATGAAATGACAATTGAAAAAAAAAAAGATGTTATAGTAGAAAATTGTAAAACTAAAACTATTTAATGCAATGCGATGACATATATTATTATGGTGGTGCAGAGTTTTGCACGTGGCTTTGCTTAACAGCAGAAGGTCAAACACTCAAACGTGTATGTTTTGGAATCTTAGCTAAGCAATTATTTGTAGGAGACACATATAAGAATCATATATGTGTGAGAAGCACTTTAACAGTTTATATTTGTGAAATATGTAACAAATATTCATCAAAGTCAAATTTTATTTGAAGAATTGAATCAGGAAATATCCATTTCAAGAAATTTTCCATATAAAATAAAGTATGAAAATCCTAACAATCGCTTTTACTTTTGAAAACTCCTGTATATAAAACATGCAAACCCTTTTCTGGTTTCATTAATTTATTAAATATTTAGTAAATAAAATAATAAAACATATAACTTGTCGGAAGACAAATTAATGTTATATTATTATTATTATTATTATTATTATAATACCTATAGATATTAGAAAATAGCTTTTAAAGCACATCTTTTCAACTATATAAACCCCATACTTCGTGTTATCGTAATATTGTATTTTGCACGTTCTTCTCTTGCATTTCATTAGAAAAAACTTTAAAATCTCTTTCTCTCTATTTTCACATGGAAACCAAAGCTGAAGTATCTCGTTTCATTTTTCCTTATGTTCGAGTCTACAAAGATGGAACTATCGAAAGACTTGCAGGAACAGAAATAGCTCCTGCAGGCTTAGATCCTGAGACCCATGTTCTTTCCAAGGACGTAATTGTAATACCAGAAACTGGCGTCTCAGTGAGACTTTATCGTCCAAATTCTACAAAACCCCATCAAAAGCTTCCTCTTGTAATCTACTACCATGGCGGAGGCTTTTTCTTATCATCAACAGCTGATCCTAAATACCATAACAGTCTCAACAAAATGGTTGCAGAGGCCAAAATCATTCTCGTCTCAGTAAATTACAGATTAGCTCCTGAAACTCCTCTTCCTGGTGCATATGAGGACTCGTGGGTTGCGCTTGAGTGGGTAGCTTGTCGCGGAAGACAGGAGCCATGGCTAGACGAATACGCAGACTTTGATAGGGTTTTCTTGGCCGGAGACAGTTGCGGTGCTAATATGGCAAATTACATTGGTTTAAAGCTGACAGACACCGAACGGTGTCGTTTAAACCTGAAGGTTCAAGGAATTGCCATGATATATCCCTACTTTTGGGGAAAAGATCCTATAGGAGTAGAAATAACTGACAAGCAAAGAAAATCAATGGTGGATGATTGGTGGATGTTTGTTTGTCCGGCGTCATCGGATAAGGGATGTGATGATCCTCTGATTAATCCCTTTATGGATGGATCTTTAAGGCTTGAAGGGTTGGCTTGTGAGAAAGTGATGGCGGTTGTTGCAGAGAAAGATATATTAAGAGATAGAGGAAAGCTTTATTATGAAAAGCTGGGGAAAAGTGGATGGCAAGGGAATGCAGAATTAATTGAAACGAAAGGAGAGGATCATAATTTCCATATATTTGATCCTGATTGTGAAAATGCTAAGAGCTTGTTCAAGCTTCTTGCTTCTTTCTTCAACCACGCATGATATGGTTTGTTAATTTGTATGCACTGTAGTCAACTATGTCGAAGGTTATAGCCTTGTTGCTTGGTATCACATTACAGAAGAATATGTTGTTTATTATTATTGAATTAAGTTGCAGCTTTTGAGTTGTAGAAGTATGAGCAAGTATGGGATTACCAGCAAACTATACTTTGTCTGCTTTAATGTTTCTTATATTTCAATATGAAATTTGATAACAAAGAGCCCATTCTGATGGTTTTAGTTTCACAGCGTGTGCCATTTTGAGCTTTATATATTCTATTGTAGAAAATGTCCTTTACCTTAATAACATGAAAGTATAATGGTTTGCTGGTCACATGAGTTTTAACAAGCTTATCATTTTTTCGCCATCTCACCTTTTTTCAATGTTTTGATGAGCAACTGGCTAGTGAAATTTCAGCGAGCTATACATTTGATAAGGCATTTGATTGACAAATTTGTGAGGTTTAAACACTTTATTGCCAAAAAAAAAAATAATAATAATAATAAAAAAAAAAGCAAAGTTTTGATACTAAAATAAAAAAATTTTTAAAAGTTTTGAATATTAAATTTATGATAAATTAATTTTCGATTGAAAATGTATGAAGTACAGGAAGAATTTTATCATAATTACTAGTAATTATATCTAACTTAATTTAAGCAAGATAGTTTGCAAAGTTTAAGATATTCTGTCAGAATTTTTTTTTATTTTCTTTATTTTTCTGTGAATATAAATAGAATTATGGAAGTTTGTTTGTTGGTTATTTGTCTTTCTCATCTTTACAATTATATATTATTTACCACTATTTAATTATGCGTTCATCATATTTATTTTAATTCCATCTGTTTTGAGTCATATATTATTTTAACTCACTAAATATTCTCAGCCCACTAGATTATAATTAAATTTTGTTAATGCCGAATTAATCGAGTTGTTGTAATGAAAATTTATTTTATTTATGAGAATGAATCTCTTGATCAAACTTAAGAAAAAAGAGTGTCAAATGATCTGAAAAATAAAAAAAATAGAGAATGAGAGAAATGTGAAATAATATTATTGGCTACAAATATCAATTTCTACTGCATCAAAGCAAATGAATAAATAAAAAAAAATCTAATAGTTAAAAAAGAATAAAAGAATAATGTTTAATAAAAAATAGTCCCTAGTCACTTTGGCCTAATTAGACAAGTAGCATTCAGGAGGCAAGCCTTGAGGAAATCTCTTGACATCATCACAATAGTTGTATATCATATAATTCTTTTGCACCCATAAAAGTCTTTCTTGACTTATTGTATCAAGCTGTTGTGAGAACCAATAATTAGTTTTCAAGCGAAAAGGTGAAGAATTTGTATCACAAGAAGATACCCCATTAGACCAAACACAAGCATTTGCTTTGAAATTTCTATAAGAAGCAGTGAATGGAGCTTGACTCCAATCTATTTTTATAAGACCACCTCTTGTGGCCCAATCATCTGCATTCCATAGACTTGAGTAAATTCTCATCTGTTGATTCTTTGGAAATGGAACACCCATAGCCTCCAAGTTCTTGAATTCTCTAATGGGAATGTTATCAACAGCAAAACTGAAACACAAAGAGGATGTAAAAACAATTAGTGGATTGAAATCTTAGTAAAAGGGAAAGGTTAGAAATTGTCCTGCAGACCAGTGGGCTTTCGGAAAAAGAAAGAGAAAGGTCAGATAGATCGATTACTCACAGGACGCGATGGGGGTTCCAAAGAATGGTATAGGTGTGGAAATCAGCAGTAGGATCAAACCATAAATAGAATTGTTGCTCTCTGTTTCCTTTGCCTTGGGTGAACACATTGGTGTGGAGAATGTAAGGGTCACCACTCAAATTTCCCAAGAACTCAAAATCTATTTCATCCCATGCAGACCCTTGTGAGCATAACTGCAGATTCAAATTTATTTTTAATGAAAAATGAATTTATACTTTCAAAAAAATGAAATCAAATGAGCTTCAGTTGAGTAATAGCAGAGAAGTACTTACAAAATAGGCAGTGACAGTTCCAGCAGAGTTACCAGGTATAAGCTTAATCTCCATATCAATCTTTCCGAACAAATACTCATTCTTTGATTGAAATCCAGAACCAGAAGTTCTGTCAAGACTAAGAGTAAGAAGCTCACCATTGTTAAGTATCTGACCCCTACCATCTCCCCATGTAATATCAATATCATTGTAGATTTTACTAGCAGAAGCAAAAACCAGGGAGGCTATGATTAAAACAGGCAGAATAAGCACCACATTTGAAGAAGAAGAAAAAGAAAAGGCCATTAATTTAGTATTCATGTGGTTTAATTAGTTGTTAAGATGAGATTAGAGATGGGTTTATAGAAAGTGAAGATTTAGGTTGCTATTTATAGTTAGGAAGTGAAAAATAAGAAAGAGTGAGAAGATCCAGTCAGGTTAGCTTAGCTGTGAACAAGTGGTTGGTGTGGGAAAATGTAAAGAAGATTGCTATAAAATCGCACTAGCGGACACGAAGTAACCAGACAATCCAGAGTTTATGCCTTTATGCTGTGTCCTTAACTGCCTAAAAAGTAAATTTTTTTATTAAAAAAATTATTAGTATACAAAAAACACGTGATCCTATTTTGTTGGAACAGTTTGTTTTCTTTTTGATTTTTGCACTTTTTTTTTTCAATTTTTTATGTCATTTATTCGTTTCGATTAGTTTGATAGGTCAGAAATAATTGAAATTACCAAATTGGAAACAACTAAATTTAATTTTTAGTTTTTTGTCTTTGCTGAAAACAAGTTGCAGACCAGCTGTTTGATGAAAGTTCTCACTTAGAGTTGGAGCACCCTCTTGTCTGTACCTTATCTATTATTGGAACTACTTAAAAATCATTAATAATTCATCAAAAAATCTTTAAGAATTAATAAAAAAATCTTTAATAGATTGAATTTCGTAAACACGAATTTAATTACATAGAACAAAAGAATAGGGAAAAACAAAGAAAGAAAGAATCAAGCTATCTTGACAAAAGAAGAAGAAAAATAAAAAAATTTGACTTTCTCAGTCTTCTATGACATGCTGCATTCTGGAGGGATGCCCTGAGGAAATCTTTTAGTGTCAGTGCAGTAATTGTAGATCATGTAATTCTGTTGTACCCATTGGAGCCTGTCTTGACTTGTTGCGTCTAATTCTTGTGATAGCCACACATTACTACTGGAAGGTGAACTGGATTTGCAAGAAGATGCTCCATTAGACCAAATACAAGCATTGGCATTGAAGTTTCTGTAAGAAGCAGTGAAGGGAGCTCGACTCCAATCTGTCTTCACAAGACCACCTCTTGTGGCCCAATCATCTGCATTCCACAGACTTGAGTAAATTCTCATTGGTTGACTCTTTGGAAATGGAACTCCAGCGGATTCCAAGTTCTTGAACTCTCTAATTGGTTAGAGTATTCGCGCACGCAACCTCTTTTGTGTGTCTGTGTACCTTAATAGTTTATTTGGCATACTACTTTTTCTAACAACTAAAATATTTCCATTAATCAATTCATACAAAACAATCTTTTAAGAAGTTAATACAAAAAATCTTTTAATAGATTGAATTTCAGTAAACACGAATTTGTAATTACCATAGAACATAAGAATAGGGGAAAAAAACAAAGAATAGAACGAATCAGAGCTATTATTTTGACATAAAGAAGTAAAGAAGGAAATAAAAAAATTTTTGCTTTTCTGGATATTATATGACATGCTCGCATATGCTTGGAGGGATGGCTCCCTGAGGAAATCTTTTAGTGTCAGTGCAATGTAATTGTGAGCATTCATTAATGTCATGTTTGTACTCCAGCGCATTGGATTGCCTTGTCTTTGAACTTGTTGCGTTCTAATTCTTGTGATAGCCAGCATTACTTACTGGATAGGTGAACTGGATTTGCAAGAGATGCTGGACACATTAAGACCAAATATCAAGCATTTGGCATTGAAGTTTACTGTATAGAGCAGTGAAGGGAGCTCGACTCCAATCTTGCGTCTTCACAAAGTGAACACACGCTCTTTGTGTGCCCAACATCTGTCATTCACAGACTTGAGTTAATTCTCAATTGGTTGACTCTTTGGAAATAGAGAACTCCCAGCGAATTCCAAGTTCTATGAACTCTCTTAATTTGGAGTCCACATTCAACGCAGATATTGCTTGAAACAGAGGAGAAAGCGATGTTTATTAATTGATATAAGAAATTAGAATTAAAGTTAATAAAGAACAACACGCTGAAGATGCGACGGAGTTTTCTGTGCCTTACAATGCATGCGTTGGGAAGATTCCAAGAAATGGAAATAGGTGTGGAAATCAGCAGTTGGGTCAAAACCATAATAGAATTGTTGCTACTCTGTTCTCTATTTGCCTTGGCTATTAAAAACAACATTTGTAGTGTGAAGAATTGGAGAATCTCCACTACAGAACTTTCCCAAGAACACTCAATAAGTTCTATCTTCATCCCAAAGTAAGATCCCTTTTGAGGATAGCTGCAAATTTACCACCAAGAGTCAATGTTATTAGTCAATTACGTTAATTAATAGTAACTTGAAAAAGTGTAACAGAAAAAAGAGAGAGATAGAGAAGAGAGAGTAAGTACATTTCACATGAAATAGGTGTCTTCAGTGACGTGTTGCCTCTCCTTTGCCTTGGCTAAACACATTGGTGTGAAGAATGTAAGGATCTCCACTCAAATTTCCCAAGAACTCAAAGTCTATCTCATCCCAAGTAGACCCTTTTGAGGATAGCTGCAAATTCACAGGTATTATTAGTCAAAACGAATACAAACTTGAAAAGTTGCAGAAAAAAGAGAGAGAGAGAGAGAGAGTAAGTACATACATAATAGGCAGTGACGGTGCCGGCGGAGTTGCCGGGGACAAGCTTGAGTTGCATGTCAATTTGTCCAAATAAGTACTCATTTTTGGATTGAAATCCAGAACCAGAAGCTTGGTCAAGGTTAAGCGTAAGAAGGTCTCCATTGTTGAGAATCTTAGCACGGCCATCTCCCCATGTAATGTCAAAATTTTGGTAGAAATTTGCAGTTGCCATGGAAGAGAAGATGCCGAGAAGCATTACCAGAATTAAAGAATTATGTGAAGCCATGATGAATTTTTCTCGATAGGTAACTCAAGGATTGCTAGAAACTACGTATAGAGTAAAAGAAAGGATTTTTTAGTGAGGAGATAGGCTGAGTTGATGTTGGTATTTATACCCATTTGAATTTGAAAAGGAAAGGCAAAGGAAGGAAGAAGGTCCGGTGACGGTGTATTAGTCATCAGCTGTGGCCAGTTGTAGTTGTGAATAAAATATGGCGCACTAAAGAGACATTACGTGACGCGAAACGCGTTGAGTTGGTGTGTGACTGTCACCTGACCTGATGCTTTCGATCGTTTTGTAAGGATCCGTGCGAAAGTGCAAAACCAAATACTGTCTGAGCTCGACAGAAAGCCGTTGATCAGAGTTAGCTGTGAAGGTTTATACCTTTCCGTAAACCACAGTAAATTATTCTTTTCAACTATGAAATCTAAAAACATTTTTCATGGAAACTGTTTTGAAGAATAAAAAAGTAAGGGAAACTAATTATTTAGTCACTGAGTATTTACAGAATTAATTATTTTGCCTTTATATTTTTATATGTTAGATATTTAGTCCTGAAGGTTGGGTTCCATCTCATCGAGAGTTCTTCCCTCTGAAATTCATGATATTTACAATTAAAAAAGTACAAAAAGACAAAATAGAGGACATAAGATAATTTTTTTAATGACCAAAGGTGCCCTCAATGAAAAAGAAAATATTATTTAAATCAAATAAAACAGATGTGATTAGAACCAAATATTATTTCTGTTATTCATTATTGTTAATTGTGGCTCATTATTGCTATTTTTTGATATTATGCTTTTGCTCAACTCTTTTATAAATTAAGACCCGAATATTCATTTTGAGATTTAACTTAATAAATTACATTTCAAAAACTAGGTCATTTATTTGTTTGTGAATCTCTGAAACTAAATAGAAATTCTCAGTTATGGGTTATTTGCAAAAGAGTAAACCATTAAAAAAACTCTAAACTTTGTGTCTGGTAACAATTGCACTCTTAATCCAATTTAACTCTTCAACACTCCAATTGTAACTTTTTGTTATAATTGTACCCTAATTTGAAATTCATCAAAGTTAGTGAAAAAAATATAATAAATATGGGCTCCACAACACATACTTGAGTTAACTTAACCCAATGAATGAGTTCGCTAAATTATATAATACCCCAAACTTTAGTTATGGTAACAATTGTACTCCAAAACGACAATAATCTTTAAATATTTCAATTTTAACTTTTTGTCACAACTGCATCTCAAATTCAAATTATGACAAATATAATGTTTTAATTGCACCCTAAATTCAAACTAAGGGTCACATTTAATATAAGTTCACCTTAAATTCAAATTTTATCTTATTTTTATATAGAAATCCTAGATTAATAGAGAAGAAGTAATCAATAGAAGATGAGTTCAGAATAAAGTAAAACGTTTCATAATGGCTTGATAGAAGAGGTTCATGAAACACACCATTTCACTTAACCAACTCTTCAAATTAAACTAACCTAATGTGTAAAATGTGTGACTCACAATTTCTATAGTCGCAGTTTGTGTTTGGAGGTTTAAGATTATTTTTGTGGGACAATATATTTTCTCGAGTAAACTATGGTTTGCATATCAATATGAGATGAAATTTTGAATTTAGGGTGTAATTATGATTATATGTTTGTTATAATTTACTTTATTCCGAACTCATCTCTTCTTGGTCACTTCTTCTCTAGTAATCTAGGATTTATTCCATTAAGAAGTCTGAATTTAGAGTGAAATTGTAATTGAATGTGACCCTAATTTGAATCAAGGTGCAATTATAGCATTATATTTGTCATAATTTGAATTTGAGATGTAGTTGTGACAAAAAGTTAAAATTAGGGTATCTAAGGGATTAGGATCGTTTTGGGTACAATTGTTCTAATAACCAAAGTTTGGAGTATTATATAGTTTAACCAACTCATTCCTTGGGTTAATCCACTGAAATTTTAGTTATGGGACCCATATTTATTATGTTTTATTCACTAATTTTCACCAATTTCAAATTAAGGTACAATTATAATAAAAAGTTATAATTAGAGTGTCTGAGGCATTAAGTTGAATTTAAAGTGCAATTGTTATAAGATGCAAAGTTTAGAGTATTTTAATGGTTTACTTATTTGTAAAATCAACTCTCTTGGACTATTAGAAAAACATCTGCTTTGAGCATATTTTGATAGTTAAAATTTGTAAATCAGTTCTTAAAATTGAACTTTTGTGAATTTTGTTTAGTCTTCTTTTAACAGGTGAAGGGTTTTGATCTTTCTGTTCCAAGGTAATTTGTCTTTTCACACTCTTTTAACAATAAAAACTATGAATTTCGGACGAAAAACCTTTTAATGAGATGAATTAAACGTTTAAGGCTAAATACTTAATGTATAAAGTATAAGGATCAGAAAATTAAATTTGTAAAACCTGAAGGACTAAATAATTATTTTTCAAAAAAGTAATTGTTAGGCGCTTGTTTATGCCTTCTTTGACCTAATTTGCTATTTATCGTTAATCTATTATTATTATTTATTCACACTAGTCAATTTTAGTTTAAACCAGAATCTAACCAAAATCACTTAACCCTTGACATGCCTATATATGATGTCATAAGAATTAGATTTGAAATTTTTTTTTAAAAAAAGTACATAAATAACAAGAATACCTTGTATACGTTTTCTGAATTTAAAAATATAAATTTATTTTAAAAAAAAACTGTGTTTATAATTGCAATTAAGAGTGTTGAATCGATTCATTTGGTTCGGTTCAATAGGCTATTGAGGGAGGTTGAGTTTGTAAAGTAAAAAATCTTGTTTAATCTTTTTAAATTATGCAACTTAAAATTCAAATTCATATTCTCAAAGTTCAGATCTCTTATCCCAATTTAGTTGCTCTGCTATCCATGCTTCGTTCCAACCTGGATAGCATTCATCAAAACATCTTTAAGATTGAACAAAACATCATAGTAGAAATAATTTTGTTAAATCCAATTAAATAGAGCAAAAGAATGGGAAAAGAAAAAGAAAGAATCAACATATGTTGAAAAATTAAAAAAGAAAAGAAAAATTTTTTTGTATTGAACAGTATGTCGTCGTTCTTTTATGACATGCTGCATTCCGTAGGGAATCCTTCCGGAAATCTCTTATCATCAGCGCAGTAATCATATATCATGTAATTCTTTTGCACCCATTTGAGCCTCTCTTGACTTGTTGAATCAAGCTCGTCGGAAAGCCAAGAAGTTGTGTTAGATGCAGAATTTGTGCCACAAGAAGACGCTCCATTAGACCATACACAAGCATTTGCTTTGAAGTTTCTGTAAGATGCAGTGAAGGGAGCTTGAGTCCAATCTGTCTTCACAAGACCACCTCTTGTAGCCCAATCATCTGCATTCCAGAGACTAGAGTATATTCTCATTGGTTGATTCTTTGGAAATGGAACTCCAATGGATTCCAAGTTCTTGAACTCTCTAATTGGGGTTCCATCAACGGAGAAGCTGAAAACAGAGCAGGAAGATTGTCTTATTAGTAAAGAAATTAAAATTGAAGATAAAAAGACAAAAAGCTGAAGATTTGACAGAGTTTCTTGCTTACATGATGCGTTGGGGATTCCAAAGAATGGAATAGGTATGGAAATCAGCAGTTGGGTCGAACCATAAATAGAATTGTTGCTCTCTGTTTCCTTTGCCTTGGCTAAACACATTGGTGTGGAGAATGTAAGGATCTCCACTCAAATTTCCCAAGAACTCGAAGTCTATCTCATCCCAAGTAGACCCTTTTGACGATAACTGCAAATTCACAAGTATTATTAGTCAGAATGAATACATATATACTTAAAAATTTACAGCAAAAAAAAAAAAAAAAAAAAAAAAAAAAAAAAAAAAAAAAAAAAAGAGAGAGAAAGAAATAGTTTTACATAATAGGCAGTAAACGGCTGCCAAGCCGGAGTTGCCAGGGACAAAGCTTGAGTTGCATGTCAATTTGTCCAAACAAATACTCATTTTTGGAAAAAAAAAAAAAAAAAAAAAAAAAGAAGAGAGAAAGAAATAGTTACATAATAGGCAGTAACGGTGCCAGCGGAGTTGCCAGGGACAAGCTTGAGTTGCATGTCAATTTGTCCAAACAAATACTCATTTTTGGATTGAAATCCAGAACCAGAAGCTTGGTCAAGTTTAAGCGTAAGAAGGTCTCCATTGTTGAGAATCTTAGCTCGGCCATCTCCCCATGTAATGTCAAAATTTTGGTAAAAATTTGCAGCTGCCATGGAAGAGAAGATGCCAAGAAGCAATAGCAGCATTAAAGAACTATGTGAAGCCATGATAAATTTTTCTTGATGTTGAAATAAGGGATAGCAAGAAACTGCGTATACAATGTATAGAGTAAAAGAAAGAACTGGTATGTTACAAGTGTGGAGATAAGATGAGACGATGATGGTATTTATACCCATTTGAATTTGAAAAGGAAAAGGCATGGGAAGGTTCAGTATAGTCATCAGCTGGACAGTTGTACTGTGAATAAAATATAGCGCACCAAAAAGACATTAAGCGACACGAGACGCGGTTTCGCATTAATGCAATGCAGGGTTGGCGTGTGGCTGTCACCTGGTTGATGCTTTCGATTCTTGCATTAGTATCTTTCATTTTGTAAGGATCCGTGCAAAAACCAAATGCATAGTTGTCAGATACGTGGATTTAATAAATAATAAACTTTTTTCTTTTTTTATTATTTGTACACAAGTAGTTGAATGGTTTCAACTCAAATATTAAATTAAAAGTATTTCATCAATCCATTTAATAATTTATTATAATTTAGAAAAATTAAATAATTTTTTTAAGAGAAATTAAATACCCAAATGCGATAAGTATTTTTGATAAACTGCATAATCTTGATATAAAGATGTTAATCAACCTCACAAAATTTTCATTTTGCGTTTGTAGTTGTCACTTTCTTTTGTTAGCATTATCTGTTTCGTTAAATTTGACAGTTTTTTTTTTATTTTTTATACCATTTAGATGACACTTTTTGAAAATTAAAATATCATTTAATTATTTATTTCAATTTTACTTGTTTAGATATCTACACCAAAGTTTCAATTAATTGAGTATTGACTAAAGGGTAATTCAGTCAATAAAATAAGTTAGATTCTTCTAAAATACACTTAAATGGCCGAAGAGGGATTACACCTGTTAGTTCTAAATAAAAAAAAAAAAAGATTTGCTATTTTATCTTCTTTTAATTTTTGCTTATCCATTATTTTCAATTTTTATACATTGAATCCGTAATTTTAATAAAAAAATTTACTTACATGGGATATGAGCCCATTTATATACCAAATTAATTACAAACCAGAATATATTTAATTATACACCGAAAAAATAATAATATTTTTAAAAAAGAAAACGTTTTTTTATTAGCTTTCTATCAGAAAAATCAGCATCTATTCAACTCGCTCTCTTCTTTTACTGGTTCATGAAGCTTTATGTATTATGGGGTGTCATTAAAATAAATCTCCACTGATCAAAAGCTTTATGCATCACGAGTGATGCATTTCTTTACTCTTTTCCGTCCAAATCCACCTTTAATTTTGTATATTAAATTTATATGTGAAATCTTTAGAGATGTGAAAAGAATCAGAAATTACAAAAATAGTATATATTATGGTGAAAAGCACCAAAAGCTCAAATTATATTAAGGCCACATGTAACATTTGGGTCTGACTTGTTTATACATAATATGGAACCCATCATGCCGATTATTTACAAGTATTTTCTGACAACCATACGTAAGAGTGTTCATCAAACTGCCTAAACCGTCCAAATCGATTCAAATCGAATTAAAACTGCGGTTTTAATTAAAAGATTGATGGTTTAATTTGATTTTATAAAATTTAAAAACCTAGCTTTTGGTTTGGTTTATGATTTTACAGTCACAACCATCCAAACCGAGCTTTTGGTTTGGTTTATGTTTTTGGAATCAAACCACCCAAACCAAATGAAACATCCATGTATAATTATATATATGTATTTTGAATTTTTCAATACAATTCAATTTTTTTAATGAAAATTTCTGTTGTATTAATTACTTTATATTGGATAGTAAATTATGAGATTTGTTATATTGGATAATAATTGAATAATAATTTCTTGTTGATTAGATAAGTTGTATAATTATTTTATAAAATATTCAAATGTTAAACATTCATGTATATATATATAAACTATATGTGAGTAAAATTATAATTTTTTTATAATTTCTAGTAATAGATATAATTAAATCAAATTTAAATTCTATATTTATAAATTGCTTAATTATTATCTTTCTAAATAAATAATATTTTTTATACTATACAAAGTATATATATAAATTTAAAAACTCATAATAGCTATTCAAAATCATGTGTATTTTATGGCATAGTTTTTATCAATTCATTTTTCATATTTAGAATAATGTTAATCTTTTTTTTTATATATATATTTATTAACTAGATGAACAAGGAAGTTTAATTTCTCTTATTTCAAACTGTCAAACCAAACCAAATCAAATCAAACTGTCGCCGAAGATTAGGTTTGGTTTGAAATTTTTCATGATTTGATTTTGATTTTAATTTTTTTCAAACCACCACTTTAAGTTTGGTTTGATTATTATATTTAAACCGAACCAAACTGACCCACTATCAAGTACATATTCAACATCTCTCGATAAAGAAAAGGACTATCTCAGCTGTGTAACCCAAAATATTCTCTTAACAATTTAAATTGTTTTCAATTTGATGCCTAACCTGATCTCTAAATTAAAAAAAAAAAAAACAATTACAACTCAAAGAATAAAGAATAATTTATTCTATTAAGATCATTTCTCAACATAAGATTGTTAATGGATTACCATTTAAAAAAAAAAAAAAAAGAAAAACAATTTGCTTGTTTGCTTTTTTTTTTTTTTTTAAACTCCTTTACTGTCAAAGTAATTAAAATATTGTCAGCATATTTGTGAAGCATGCACTAATAAGTCATGCCAATTGCCAAGTTGGTTCAGAAATCTCCTTATCTGCTTTTTCTTAAAATTCCTCAGCTGATATGCAATGAAAATGAAAGGGAAAAAAAAAATTGTTTGTACTGCAAAAAAGGTCATTCTCTGTGTGCTTTGTCAAATATGTATTCTACGAACCTCAATAATCTCCATTTGGTTCTTCCAAAAGATAAAACAAGAGAATTTTTCCATTAGAAAAAAAAAAAAAAATCATGCTCAACCAGTCCATCATTCACAAATGAACTTTGCAAAAAATAAATTATGTACGATGGTCTAAGTTTTGGAATATGTGTTGATATTTTTGCTTGGCATAAAGTATATGGTTTATCACAAATAAACGTTGGGATGAGTGGTTCGGCATTCTTCTCTCTTAATTGAGATCGAAAGGTTTAATTCTCATGGATGAAGTAAATACTCGCTGTAGTGGGCCGATTCGGTGCAAGTAGGATTTAGTTTTAATCCAGTGGGTTCGGAACAATGACAAAATCAGCCCAAATAGTTAGGGGGACCAAAAAATTTTTTACTAATTATAGGGAGCAAAATTCAAATATATTTTTTTCCAAACATTTCACACTAAAAATTTTAAAAACTTTTTAATTTGCAGGGGCATAGCCCCTCGGTCCTTTCCTGGACGGGGATCCTTGTGGTTAAAATAAAAAAAAAAAGTATACGGTTTAAATTTAATGATGTACTTTTTCCATCCTATTTTATTTGCATGGTTTCAAAAAACACGCATATTAAAAATTTAATCAATAAAAATCATTTTACTCTTCACTCATTAAGATATTAGTAAAAATCATTCATTAATGAACAATCATATATGTTACAATGGAAAAAAATAATTGTCTAAGTATATAAAACCATAGCGAAGGGTGAACCCAAGGGGCACTTGAGTTTGATGATAAATCAACGATAATATCTAATATTTTGAGGGAAGATGCTGATCAATTTTATCCAAGACCTTATATCCCTAACCACCTACACGCAATAACGTACTAAATGCTTTTAGAAACCTTGTAAATATTTTTGGACATTTTCAAAAAAGAATAACAAGCAAACAAAATAAAACAGAAGAAGTATTAATTTTGGGGTTAAGTCAAATTTCAAATGTTCATCTTAGTTTCCTGTACTAAGTAGTCCTTGCCCCAAATATACATATATTGTTATGTACTGTTGTTTTTGGTAAGCAATAAGAAATTAAGCATCCTTCTCTCCATCTCCATTGCAAAAACATCTTCATTTTTTTTTTTTTTTTTTTATAAACCATCGCAAATATAACAATATATTGTTAATGTACTGTTGTTTTTGGTAAGCAATAAGAAATTAAGCATCCTTTCCTCTCCATCTCCCATTGCAAAACAATCTTCAAGAATTTTTTTTTTTTTTTTTTTAATAAAGATTGGTATTTTTTTTTTTTTTTTTTTTTATAAAGATTGGTTGGCATTTACTTAAAAATCCTAATACCTTGTGGGTTTTAGTCTTAAGATTAAAGTACTAGGTTTTGACTGAAGCTATCCCAAGGGAATTGGATGGCACTCGGTCTATTCTTGGGTAAACCATCATTTGTACCCTCCATTTTACACTTCGTCACAGATTACACCCCAAAACCAACTTTAAGGCACCTTATTTTTATATTTTTGTCAAAATTGTGCCCCATTTTGGTTTTGGTCAAAATTAGACGTTATAATATTATTATTTCTGGGACCCGTTGGACTTTGTTGAGTTCACTTAACCATCCCAGTTAAGTGAAACGGTGAGTTTTGTTTAAAGGAACAAAAGAAACCTTACCGTTTCATCTCTCCCTTCTCTACCCCTCCTTCATGGATCTCATCTCAAAATCCCTCTCTCTCAGACCTGGATGCTAGATGCCAAAAGGCGGTGGGAGAGGAAGACAGAGGACAACCAAGGTAGGAGAGAAGCATAGACTAGAGAGAAGGGATTGAAGATGCAACACCGCCAACCCAAGTGCAGCAAGAACTGCAGATTCTGGAGTGTCTGTCAGTTGGGTTGGTTTTAGAGTGTAATTATAATAAGCCGTAAAGTTGGGGGTATAATAAAAATGATCTGTTCTTACTGGAATTGGATGGCTATAAGTATATAGCATAAAAGCTATATACGACCTAAGACTAGCACTTTCTCAAGCGAAAATTATGATGGCTCTCTACATTTCATTAAATTACTGTTCAGATTGGTTTATCTTTTGTTTGTGCAAAAACTGTATGTAAATTCATTTTCTTAATTGAGCAAATTATGCATCCTATATTGATTTCCATTTAGCGGCATGCGTCTTTAGTTAACAGAACACACCAAAAAAGAAACTAACATTTTTCAGAGCACACTGCAAACAAACTGCAGACCAGCTGTTTGACAAAAGTTCTCGCTTTCAGTTGGAGGGCGATCTCGCCACTACCTTGCCTAATTTTTTACTTGTACTTCTGAATTATGCAATTTGAAGAAAAGCTAGACTCATGTTATCGAATTTCAAATCTCTTGTCCTTAAGTTGCTCATATATGCTTCATTCCAACCTGGATATGAAGATCTCAATGGAGATAATGAACAAATAGCATTAATCAAGATTCAAAGCAGCTTTACATAGAACGAATTTTGTCATATCTAATTGCATAGAACAAAAGAATGTAAAGAAAAAGAATCAAGATATGTTGAAAAAGAAAAACAAAAATTGTATTGAATGTTATGTCCTTCTCAGCCTTCTATGACATGCTGCATTCTGGAGGGATGCCTTGAGGAAATCTTTTAGTGTCTGTGCAGTAATTATAGATCATGTAATTCTTTTGTACCCACTGGAGCCTATCTTGACTGTTTGTGTCTAATTCTTGTGACAGCCACACATTACTACCGGAAGGTGAATTAGATTTGCAAGAAGATGCTCCATTAGACCAAATACAAGCATTGGCGTTGAAGTTTCTGTAAGAAGCAGTGAAGGGAGCTCGACTCCAATCTGTCTTCACAAGACCACCTCTTGTGGCCCAATCATCTGCAGGGAGCCTCGACTCCAAATCTGTCTCACAAGACCACCGTCTTGGCCAATCATCTGCATTCCACAGACTTGAGTAAATTCTCATTGGTTGACTCTTTGGAAATGGAACTCCAGCGGATTCCAAGTTCTTGAACTCTCTAATTGGGGTCCCATCAACGGAGAAGCTGAAACAGAGGATAATGAGTTTATTATTAATAAAGAAATTAGAATTAAAGTTAAAAAGAACAAAGCTGAAGATGCGACGGAGTTTCTTGCTTACATGATGCGTTGGGGATTCCAAAGAATGGAATAGGTGTGGAAATCAGCAGTTGGGTCGAACCATAAATAGAATTGTTGCTCTCTGTTTCCTTTGCCTTGGCTAAACACATTGGTGTGAAGAATGTAAGGATCTCCACTCAAATTTCCCAAAATTTCCTTTGCCTTGGCTAAACACATTGGTGTGAAGAATGTAAGGATCTCCACTCAAATTTCCCAAGAACTCAAAGTCTATCTCATCCCAAGTAGACCCTTTTGAGGATAACTGCAAATTCACAGGTATTATTAGTCAAAATGAATACATACTTGAAAAATTACAACAAAAATCAAAAAGGAAGAAAAAAGTACTTACATAATAGGCAGTGACGGTGCCGGCGGAGTTGCCAGGTACAAGCTTGAGTTGCATATCAATTTGTCCAAATAAATACTCATTTTTGGATTGAAATCCAGAACCAGAAGCTTGGTCAAGGTTTAGCGTAAGAAGGTCTCCGTTGTTGAGAATCTTAGCACGGCCATCTCCCCATGTAATGTCAAAATTTTGGTAGAAATTTGCAGCTGCCATGGAAGAGAAGATGCCAAGAAGCATTAGCAGCATTAAAGAACTATTCGAAGCCATGATGAGTTTTTCTTGATGTTGAACTCAGAAATATTAAGAAACTATATGTGTAATGTTTATAGAGTAAAAGAAAGAACTAGTATGTTGTAAATGAGGAGATAGGCTGGTATTTATACCCATTTGAATTTGAAAAGGAAAGGCATAGGAAGGTCCAGTGACGGTATAAGCCCTCAGCTGTGCCCAGTTGTAGTTGTGAATAAAATATAGCGCACTAAAAAGACATTATGCGACAAGAGACGCGGTTTCGCATAAATGCAACGCAGGGTTGGTGAGTGACTGTCACCTGATTGATGCTTTTGATCATCAGATAACTATTTTTATTTCGTACGGTCGATTTATTCGGTTCATTGGAGATTTTTGCATTTTTGATTGATTTGTAGAGAAAATTAAATAGTTGTATGATGTTTCATTTAGTATAATTTTTTATTTTGTTCATTTTCTTTTTTTTTAAGATAAAATTCTAGGGTATTTTAATAAATAAATTATCAATTTCAGTTTTTCTTTTCAATTCATGAAAAAGAGTAAAAAATTAATGGACGGGTATATAGTTAGACAGAATTAAAATAAAAGAATTATCAAATTAATTTTAAAAAACATAGGTTCTGATTAGTGTAATTTATTATAATAAAGGGAGTAAATAATAATTTTCTGATTAAAAATTCAATGTTAATAAGAAAAAATAGTAATACCACTTGATGCACAAAACGTCCATAACTAAAGGAAATTATTAAAATTGTAAAATTCTCCAATAACAAAAAAGGACACATTATCATAAATACAGGGAAGAGTATTATCATTAATTCAATACACATATTATTGCTTATTAATAAACAAGTCACCTCTAATGTCAAATAAATAAATAAACAAGTCAACTCTAAAAATATTAAGTCAAAAGTGAAAAAGAAAATATTATGCTCTATAATAGAAAAATATTCTATTAAGAAAATGAATAGTTTTGAAATATTTTTTAAATTAAATATATTATAGACTATTAATAATCATTGAAAAAAAGAAAAATGAAAAGCTTTTATTATTTTAGAATTAAAATTCTACAAATTAAGAGGAATAACAGTATCAAGTTAAATTAACATAAAATCACATCAAGTATAGTTCAATTAACATGATTAACAAAGATATAGACAAAGGTTTAACTCAAGAAAATAGTTTGGATTTTTTTTTTTCCTGTGTTTTGATGTTACACAGCTATTGCGGTTTTTCGCTTAACTTTTTCAAGTTCGGTTTTGAGTGTACTAGAGAAGTTTTTTTGACTCGGATTAGCTTGCTTGAATTAATTTTTTTTATTATATTAATAAAATAAATTAATTTTTTTAATAAAAAAAGCAAAATAATTAAAATTAGAACTGTTATTTAACTTTTCAATATGTTAATTTTAGTGCAGATGAGCCTGCATCCTCCTGTTAGTCTCATTCTTTGATTTTCACATGAGCCGTGGAAATTCTTTAATTCTATCAAACTCAATAATTTTTTTAAAATCTTATACGGTCCTAATCCAATACATTTACTCTTAAATTATTCTAAATAGTTTAGGTTTTAAGCCAATTAAGTATGGTCTGATGTGATGTAAGAGATCTCAAGTTCGACTGCTCTCAAACACAAGTATTTTTTCTAATTTGATAAATCTAGAGAAGGGCTATATAACTGCAATATTATTTCAGCCTAACAGGCCTTCCAGTGAATTAAAAAAAAATAGTTTTAGTGTTCTTTTCATCTCTTATGTACAAAATAAATAAATAAATAAATAGAACTGCAATTTAATGACCAAAATGCTTGAACCACAACGCTTTAATTGAAAATTACAGATGTCAATTTATTATTGAGTCTAAATAATCGTAAGCCGAAACCATTTACCCAATAATAATGTGTAGACGTCTGAATACTTTATATTTGTAATATGCTCCACCATGTTCCGACATGCCCTTTTGAAATTATATAATATGCATGCCAAAAACGTATTTATTGATGAAAAAAAATACAAACAAATAATGGACATCTATCTATGGCAAATAACAAAAACAATAAAATAATGGAACACACTCATGGATATATATACTGTGTATGCATTATCTGGGTTTTGAATTATGACAGTTTGCACTCTGTAGGGATTCCTTGTGGAAATCTCTTAACATCCGTGCAATAATTATAGATCATGTAATTCTTTTGCACCCATTTGAGCCTCTCTTGACTTGTTGAATCAAGCTCGTCCGAAAGCCAAGAAGTTGTGTTAGATGCAGAATTTGTGCCGCAAGAAGATGCTCCATTAGACCATACACAAGCATTGGCATTGAAGTTCCTGTAAGAAGCAGTGAAGGGAGCTTGACTCCAATCTGTCTTCACAAGACCACCTCTTGTAGCCCAATCATCTGCATTCCACAGACTTGAGTAGATTCTCATTGGTTGACTTTTTGGAAATGGAACTCCTGCGGATTCCAAGGCTCTAATCGGGTCCATAAGGGAGAAGCTGAACAGTGGGGTGGGAAGATGAGAAGTTTTCATTAGTTAATAAAAAAATTAAATTCAACTTGAAATAAGTAATGTTGAAGATTTGATGGAGTTTCTGTTAATAATGGCGTTGTGGATGTCCAAAGAGATGGAATAGGTGTGGAATCAAGAAGTTGGAATTGTTGCTCTCTGTTTCCTTTGCCTTGGCTAAACACATTGGTGTGAAGAATGTAAGGATCTCCACTCAAATTTCCCAAGAACTCAAAGTCTATCTCATCCCAAGTAGACCCTTTTGAGGATAGCTGCAAATTCAAATATATTATTACCAAAAACGAATATATATGTATTTTAAAAACAAAACAAGCTCTAAATTTAGTGATCCTGAAGCCGCAACAGAAAAGAACTTACATAATAGGCAGTGACCGTGCCTGCAGAATTGCCAGGAACAAGCTTGAGTTGCATGTCAATCTTTCCAAACAAATACTCATTCCTTGATTGAAATCCAGAACCGGAGGCTTTGTCAAGGTTCAGTGTAAGAAGCTGGCCATTGTTGAGTATCTTAGCGCGGCCATCTCCCCAAGTAATGTCAAAATCTTGGTAGAAGTTACCACCCAATGCAACCAATATCAAAGAGCTAAAATATGCAAGCAATAATAGTAATGAAACTCTTGAAGGAGCCATTGAAAATTTAAATGTGTTTGTATAAAAAGAAAGATATCTATATCTTTTGTAATGAAAGAGAAATGCTTTTCAAGTGAAGAAGTGATTTTCAGAGAAGGCTTTGATGGGGTTTTTATAGTCATAACTTGGAGAAAGAAGTGAGATAGAAACAGCAAGTAAGAGAGTAAATGCATAGGAAGTTTCAGAGAGGTCAGTTGTTTCCAGTTGGCAAAGATTATGGAAAGCTGGACGTAATGAACAGAAGAAAAGAGAGAGAGAAGCAAAATAATAATAACACGCGGTTTTGGTGAGCGGAGAGGGCCATCAGGATTCAGTAGCCAACCATCCTCATCCCTTCCCTTTCGGCTTTTACCAAACATAAAAGCCTGGGTCCGCTCTTTTACTTGCTCCAAAATATATGGATATTATATATATTTTTTGATCTTATCCAAATTCACCAACGCCTCTATTTTTGTCGGTGATGATACCACATTATTATTATTGTTATTATTATTATTATTTTGGTAGTTTATCCAAGGGTTCATCACTTCAACTATCACCTGTTCAAATTTGGAGCGCAATATATTTAAATGACACTTGATTAGAATTATGATGATAATTGTTGTAATATAAATTAAAAATATGTTCAATTTGTTCTTTAAATTTCCACATATTTTTCATTTTAAAATGTTTGTCACATTTGTTGTTTCGATGAGTAATAATTTTTTTTTTTTTTTAGATTTACAATTTGTATATGACCAATAATTATTGCTTCAATTGTTTAAAAATTTAGTATTTGGATATATTAGATTAAAGTTAATATAGTTAATTTACTTAATAATTTATTATAATTTAAATAAATTTAATAATTTTCTTAAGAGATTTAAAATTTCAGATTTGACAATTACGTAGGAACAAACAGAGTATGTATAATTTTTTAAACATTTAACTTTATAATATATAATTTTTGTCCCAATTTTTGTCCTAATATTTTTTAAATAATAAAATATTAATTTAATATTTTTAACTGATGAAATTTATTGTTGTTAATTCTGAAAATATACAGCAAGTTTTTTTCCCGTTACATATGAGTATCCTCGTATTCTTTTAGATATAAGACTAACGGTGTTAAAATGAACTGGTGAGTTATATTCATTTCTGGCTGATCTGACTTACTAATAAATAGTTAACATGTACACAACCATTTCTCAATCGTGTTATATATTTGAATTCTGCTATTGCTGGTCCAGTTGGGGCCCAATGGATGAAAAAGCCTTGATAGGCCTAATGAAACTTTTGACCCAAAAGCCTTGATAGGCTTTGGACCCATGATCGAGAGGGATCAGAAGAAGAGACTCGTCGGGAGTGTATTTTCTATGTTTTATTGTGGATAATACAGAAATAGTCAGTTCTTAATTTGTTTTTTATATGTCATAGAAATGATATTTTAGGTTATACCAGACTATCTCTCTCTAACTTACCAAATTAAATAAAACTCTTATTATCAAGAGGTTTCGAAATTGAAAACTTTCCACTTTTCATAAAACTTAATAAACTAATCAAACTATATTTGATTAATTATCTGTATTTAAAATAATTTGTATTTGATATAATTTCTACTTTGAATCAATAGATAGGATACAGAAAAAATATGTATAGCTTGCACTTTCGTTTGTAATTTTTATACTTGACGGGAGTCACAATCATTATTTTTCCTTGAACCTTATTGCTTTTTCCACAATCATCAATGTACTCGTCACCTTTACTTACTCTATATACGTCAACACGATGTCATTTGGGAGCTTTGACAAGTTTAGTATAGAAAAAGAACCCACAAAAGCAAATAAATGGTGGGTCTTCATCATCTGACTGTAAGACCTGTTTCGTATTTGGTAGTATCACCGACTAAATGGGCACAGTAGTTGTCTGGTGGATAGAAAAGAAAGGAGCGAGCAAGTAAACGAGCAGACCCACACTTTTTGTGTTTGGTGAAAGTCGAAAGGAAAAGGATGGTTGGCGTTGGCTACTGAATCCTGAAGTGATGGCCCTCTCCACTCGTCGAAACCGCGTTTCTTTTGTTCTCTGTTCCTTGCTATTCTATTCATTACGTCCAGCTTTCTATAATCTTTGCCAACTGGAAACAACCTGACCCATCCGAAACTTCCTATGCATTTGCTCTTACCTACTCTAGCTATTTCACTTCTTCATCCGATTTTCGACTATAAAAACCCATCGAAGCTTTACCCGCAAATCACCTCTTCACTTGAAAACAATTTCTCTTTCATTACAAAAGATATAGATATCTCTCTCTTATACAAACACATTTCCATTTTCAATGGATCCTTCAAGAGTTTCATTACTATTGTTGCTTACATACTTTAGCTCTTTGATATTGGCTGCATTGGGTGGTAACTTCTACCAAGATTTTGACATTACTTGGGGAGATGGCCGCGCTAAGATACTCAACAATGGCCAGCTTCTTACACTTAACCTAGACAAAGCCTCCGGTTCTGGATTTCAATCCAGGAATGAGTATTTGTTCGGAAAGATTGACATGCAACTCAAGCTTGTTCCTGGCAATTCTGCGGGCACGGTCACTGCCTATTATGTAAGTTCTTTTCTGTTGCGGCTTCAGGATCACTAAATTTAGAGCTTGTTTTGTTTTTAAAATACATATATATTCGTTTTTGCTAATGATATATTTGAATTTGCAGCTATCCTCAAAAGGTTCTACTTGGGATGAGATAGATTTTGAGTTCTTGGGAAATTTGAGTGGAGATCCTTACATTCTTCACACCAATGTGTTTAGCCAAGGCAAAGGAAACAGAGAGCAACAATTCAATTTGTATTATGGTTGACCCAACTGCTTGATTTCAACTTTCTTTTTTTGGAATTCCCTAACGTGATTACTGTATAGAATGGAACCCCATCAAATCTTCAAATTACTTATTTTAAGATTTCCACACCTATTCCATTCTTTGGAATTCCCAACGCATTATGTAAGCAAGAAACTCCATCAAATCTTCAACTTACTTATTTTCAAGTTGAATTTTAATTTTTTTAACTAATGATAAACTTTCTCTCCGCTGTTTCAGCTTCTCCGTTGATGGCACCCCGATTAGAGAATTCAAGAACTTGGAATCCGCAGGAGTTCCATTTCCAAAGAGTCAACCAATGAGAATCTACTCAAGTCTGTGGAATGCAGATGATTGGGCTACAAGAGGTGGTCTTGTGAAGACAGATTGGAGTCAAGCTCCCTTCACTGCTTCTTACAGGAACTTCAATGCCAATGCTTGTGTATGGTCTAATGGAGCATCTTCTTGTGGTACAAATGCTGCATCTAACACAACTTCTTGGCTTTCAGAAGAGCTTGATTCAACAAGTCAAGAGAGGCTCAAATGGGTTCAAAAGAATTACATGATCTATAATTATTGCACTGATATTAAGAGATTTCCACAAGGACTCCCTACAGAATGTAAACTGTCCTGATCCAAAACCCAAATATTGCATATAGGAGTGTGTTTGATTCTTTGATTCTTTTTGTTATTTGTCATATTGTAAGTTGTGGATTGAGTATTGAAATATACTAATATGGGAGCATTTTCCAGATTCCGAGATAGATGTCCATTATTTGTTTGTGATTTTTCACCAGTAGATTCTATAAAATTGGTTATGTTTGAACCAGAAAATATTCACTAAATTAACAGAATTATAAATGAATACTAAACGTAACAAGGGTACAGGCTAATTAAAATTGATCAGTTCAAAGTATAAACTAATAAAGTTAAATATTTCAAAAGAATTCTATAGTTAATTTAAATATAAAATTCATTTGCTATTAAATTTTATTAATAAAGTCTTAAAGATTGTTTTCAAAAAAAAAATTCATTTTAAAGATGAAATAAATTTTATAGGACTTTATTTCAATTTAAGGATTTATTTCGAATATTATGTATGACAAAATATTTTAATAATTTCCTTTTTAGTATACAAAAAGTCAAAACATCAACTAAATTCTTAAACTTTTTATACTAAATATTTTCATTTATTTAAGACATGTTTAATTTAGCTGTCATGCTAGGTGATAATAGTTGCTGATAACACATAAATGATAGTTGATAGCTCTTGGTTGATAAATATTGATTGTTTATAAAATTTTAGCAGCAATAATTATTAAAATGAAAAATTGCTATTAATATATATATATATATAATTTTCTATTTTTAATTATATAAATAAAAATATTAACTTAAAAATAATCTGTAGTCACTCATATAAAATTAAAATAAATACTTAATATAATTGTTAGGCGTTTAGGAGAGGTCCTCTTTTTTCCTCCTCACTTTTGTTACCCAAAAAAAAAAAAAAAAATCTTAATATAATATAAATAAAAATTTCAAAGAATCAAGTTGAAATTTATATTAAACTAAAATTAATTTTCTTTTAACTAAAATTAATCAATTCAATATTAATATATGCACATAGTTAGTTGCAAAACCGAGTACAATGTGATCTAAGAAATAAACTTTCATCATTCAATTACACAAACGTGTAATCTAAAAATGGAGTATTTTGTCACTTGTTGGACATGCATTCTCTTTCTTTTCACCTCATTGCCATCTGTGCTCAGCTCTCATTCCTAGTTCTACAACTAGGCATAAGACCTGTCTTCCCTTTAACCTTCCTTCTCTTCTATGCTTTCACCTTCCTTATATGAACCCACCTACCGGAAAAGAAAAGAAAAGAAAAAAAAAAAAAAAAAGGAAAACTGAAGATTTTAACATGGCTACTTCAACATTATTAATGCAAATGCAATTACTTGTGTCTTTAATGATGGTCAACTCTGCATTGTCTGGTAATTTTTACCAAGAATTTGATATGTTATGGGGAAATGGGAAAGCTAACATACTCAACAATGGAGAGTTAGTTACTCTGTCTCTTGATAAGGATTCTGGGTCGGGTTTTCAGTCAAAGCAAGAATATCTATTTGGGAAAGTGAATATGCAACTCAAGCTCGTCTCTGGCAATTCTGCTGGAACTGTCACTTCTTACTATGTTAGTATTCAGTTCATTCATGTCCAAGATTTAATTATCAGTACTATTATCTTATATTTATATTTCTTATTATAGCTTTCCTCAAAAGGGTCTTCATGGGATGAGATAGATTTTGAGTTCTTGGGAAATCTAAGTGGTGATCCTTACACTGTTCATACTAATGTAATCACTCAAGGCAAACGCGACAGAGAGCAACAATTTCATCTCTGGTTCGATCCAACTGTGGATTTCCATACCTATTCCATTCTCTGGAATCCTCTCGCAATTGTGTAAGTTTAACACTTGATTATTTGAATTGATTTTTGACTGTTTTTGCATATTTATATGTTTGAAATCTTGTTTATAGCTTCCTCATTGATGGGACACCCATAAGACAATTCAAGAACTTGAAATCTAAGGGCATTCAATTCCCAAACAACCAACCGATGAGGCAGTACTCCAGTCTGTGGAATGCTGATGATTGGGCTACAAGAGGGGGGGTCATCAAAACAGATTGGAGATATGCTCCTTTCACTGCATCTTTCAGGAATTTCAGTGGACAAGTCTGTGTATGGTCCAATGGTGTGTCTTCTTGCAATAATCTAAAGTCTCCATCTTCAAGGCCCTCAAGTTATAAATGGCTTAAAGAGGAACTTCAACCAACAAGTCTGCAGAGGCTAAGGTGGGTCCGAAATAACTACATGATATATAATTATTGTACAGACACCAAGCGTTTTCCACAAGGGTTACCTCCTGAATGTGCCTTTGAGATATAAATAATATAATAAGCTCCAAAATTTTCTATATATTATTATATAAATCTAGCTTTCAAGCTCCATAATAACATAAATCTTTTCAAGCTCTTCATTTCTTATTAAAAATAGAAAGATTAGCCAGCTTACTTTCAATAAGCTTCTATTCTCATTTCCGATTTCAATTTGATAGTGATATTTGCAAGTATACGAAATTGCAACAAATAACAAAGAGTGAGTGAGTAGAGTTCATTTCCATGAGGACTGTGTATCAAGTATCAAAATGTTCCGATGAGGACTGTGTATCAAGTATCAAAATTATGTGAACCTACTATTATTTAAATGGTAATTTGGAAATTATTTTAAGAAATTAAATTCAACAAATAAAAGATAATAAAAAGAAATAAGCAAGACAATTTTGATTAAAAGAAATCAAGGATTAATCAAGGATTAAAAACTACTATGGATTTTGACTTTCAACTTTAATTGTCTTAGTCGTAATTATTTATTATATCTTATATTTATTTTTAGTTTCAGTTAAATCAATTTAATTGTTGTAAAGTAGGGAAACAACCCCTAAAAATCACTAACAAGCTCTCCCGATGTATTGGTTAGTTATTTTAACCTCCAATTACCTATCTTCCAATAGCGCAATCAAACATGAATTAAATCATTAAGTTTTATGGTTTATTTTGTGAATTCATAACCTAAGGTCATTAACTTATTAAAATCCCCCATGAGTCACACCATATAGCTTCCACATTAAGTTATTATTCTCATGTAATTTATTACATTTTCAATATCAAAAACCCTTCTTCCGATAGTGATTAATGAAATAAATCAATTTAGGGGAGAAACTATGCGTGTAAGCATTAAGTTCAATATTAAATTATATCATAAATAAGGAAAAGCAAATCTAATATTATAAATTGGAGAAATTAAGCTACATCAAATCGCTAGTATGAGAATTTAGTTCGACATAGTAATTAAATACAACTTTAGTTCGACATAGTAATTAAATACAACTCAATTAAACTTGATAATAATTCCATAATCAATCTGAATAATGAAATATAAAAACAAGATTAAAAATTTAGAGATAAAACTAGTCAACAAATAACATGGACGGTTTCCTTAAATCTTGACACAAATCTTGAGCACTTGAAGTCTTAGAGAAAGAGAAAAACAATAGAACAAAAAAATGCTAGAACCAGAGATGCCCTATACAATGAATGGCCTTCTCTTTATATAGACTTCCTGGGCGAAAATCCGATTTCGTTTAGGAAATAGAATCCTCATTAAGTAAAAAATCTTTTTGGAAATAGGAAATTGTTTAAGTTTTGAATTTCTTATCAATTAGGACTCTTCCATGCGCCTAAATAGGATTAGAACTTCCATGCGCCTAAATAGGATTAGAACTTGATTTGCACATCAAAAAAGTATCTTAGGTGGGCTCATGTAAGTGATAGGGATTGGCTGGCCTTTTCGACTCAAAACAGCACTTTATTTATAACACAGGCGTGCTGTGAGGCACGGTTTAGGTGTGCCGAAACTTGATTCTACAGAGGGTTCAGCACGGGCCGTGTTCAGGGGCACGCTTAGATAAGGATTTGTGTCACGGGCGTGCCACATAGCACGACTAGGGCCTGGTAGGCTCTGAGTCTCCATGATGAAAAGCAGCACGGGCCATGCTTAGGTAAACACGCCTTTGGGTTGATGTCCTCTTTTGGCACGGGCGTGCCATATAACACGGCTTGGGCGTGCTAGAGTCTGAGTCTCCACTTGAGCGTGCTAGAGTCTGAGTCTCCACTTGATTTTCCTTGAATTCAATACGAGCGTGCTGATGTGCACGGGTAGGGCGTGCTAAAGCCTGAGTGTTTTGTTTTATTTTACTCTTTTCTGTACCAAAGCCCTACAAATTTCTTAAGATCAAATGAATTATGATTAAGGAAGCTTTACACCAAAACATAAATAAAACTAAAACAAAAACTAAATAAAGTAATTAAAAGTACTAAAAATCCTAATAAAAACTATATTAAAAATACTATAAAAATAACACTATCACACTGAAGGAAAATTTTCAACATTGACAATAATAAGAAAAATGTTCACTACAAATTGAACAACAGGAGAGAAATGCAAAGACAGCTAATAACTTCACTTCAAATTTTCAACTGGGGAATTTATTGTGTAGACATGAGAATCTCAAGCCGATTAGTTGTTCAAACTGCATAATTTAGAGGTATTTGTAAAAAAATAGACAAGGTGTGGCGAGGACTTTTGTCAAACAGCTGCTCTGCAATATGTTTGGAATGTTCTCTAGAGCAGTTGTGCGTTTTTTTTTTTTTTTTTTTTGTTTTTTTTTTTTTTTTTTGAATGGGCATTTTTTTTTTTTTTTTTTTGAACTGGGCAGTTGTGTTTGTAACTTTGCAAAGTGTTCTTTTTATTTATTTTGGCTCTGAGAATGTGTTTATCATATAAAGTTTTTATACTATGTAGTTAAATTAATTGGTTTGCTAAATAAATAGCATTTTTTATTACTTTATTTTTGCAATTTCATATGAGAACTTTATATAATTTCTTGAATGACCATAGTTTTACTTTTTATTCTAAAAAATATCATGCATTTTTGTTTGTCCTTGTAATGATTTTTGGTTGTAGGGTTATTTGTAGGAGGGAGCATTTGGCCAATTCAGTCGATTTGAATAACTTTTTTAACTGAAATTTGTTTTTGACTTAACCGAATTTAATCAAATTTAACCAAACGTTTTGGTCGTACAAATTTTGATCATTAAAATGAAAACTTAATTAACTGATCCAACTTAACCGAAATAAAAATTAACTAAAATTTTTAATCATCACTTAATTAAAATAAAAATTAAAAATATTTTAATTTTATTATCTGCTTAATCAAAACGGTAATTTTGAGAGCCAGCTAATTTGATTAATTCAGTTAAATTAACTTTTAACCAAATTTTAACCGAGTACCGACAATTTAATTTTCTTTAATTGAACATTTTTTCACCGAATCAAATTTACTAAATTAACCGAATCTATCGAATTAGCGAAACCGCATGCTTAGACATGGCCACGGTTCCGGAACCGGCGGTTCCGGTTCCAGAAAAGCTGGAATCGGAACTGAACCGAAATGGTCCGGTTCCGGTCCGGTTCCGTGTCCGGAGTCCGATTACAAAAACCGACGGTTCCGATGTGGTTTTTCGGGTATCGCATAATGTTTGTAAATTGTTAAATTTTGGATACGTCTTTTAAAAAAATTTTATGTGAACATAAAAAAAATAAAAATACAGTTAACAAAATTGTAAAATATGAAGACTGGATTTAAAAAAAAATTGTATTTGAACATTAAAATAAAAAAATACACCTAAAAAATTTTAAATTTTTGAAGATCGGTTTTGTTAAAAAAAAAATGTATTTTGAACGTTAAAAAATTTAAAATACACCTAAAAATTAAAAAATACTTCCATTAAAATGTTATTTTTTTAAAGACTTGAATTCGTTGGTGTTTGATACCCATAAATGAATGTTTTGTTAAAAAAAATGTTTGAACGTGACTGTTTGTTGTTTTTAAGTTTGAACAAAAGTTTAAAAAAAAAATGGGCTTCTTGAAACTGTAATTTGTTTTTTGTTTAAAAAAAAAAATTTAAGTTGCCTACGGTATCCTCTTGGGGTTTAGAGGAATCAAAGCCAACGTTTAGTTCTTTACTTACCTTAGTATCAATTTCACCCCTGTTTACCTTTAATCGCTATTTGCACCACCAGTTGATGTTCCCGTTGAGGGACCATCGGTATAAATCAAATAAATCTTCATGTTGTCTTTTGGATTTTCTGTTGGCGCTCTTAGTTCGGCTTTGGTTCCAATCATTCCACGCACGCTGTGCTTCTTAAGTATGTAATCGGGTGTCAGTACCGAGATCGTGTTTTCATAAGTATGTTTCCTCCTTGACTAAAAGTTGTGTTCAACCGGCAACAGTGGAGACCGGAGGCTGCCTAAAAATTGTTTTGCCCAAGTAAAGAAAAGAATGTGAAAAAGTTATTTGCGTTGACGGAACTCCACCAATTTAAAATTGAAAAATCTGCATCTGCATTTAATTAGTCACCAAAACTCAAAAGAAAGTTGTTAGATAATTGTCAAATGTACAAGAAATTAAGAACGGATTCCCTTGTTTCTTTTTGTGTCTGTTGCCAATAAAACTGTGTGAGCAGCAACATCCAATACCACTTACCCTTTGTGTTGGAAAATTGTGGATATTAGATTGAGAAGAAGTAGAAATAGAAGGTAAGATTGAACGTTAGAACTTGAACAAAATTCATTATATAATTGCAGTAATATTTTGTTTAACTTCATGCACTAGTAATTTATATAACATTATCTTCACATCAAGATTTAATACGTTCATAATTAAATAGCTCAAAATAATCACATAAAACATTCCATGTCTACAATCTAGGATCAAATACAATTAGCAACAAGATAAAGAGTGGTTAATATTTTTAAAATAAGATAACCATTTTTTTTCATTTGAAATGACGAAAAAATACAATCTTTTAATAAATCATCATTTTGAAATTCTTGTAGTGCAGTAACAATATTAATACACATAGGTAAAAATAAATTAGATGTGGGATAGTAAACCCCACTAAATTTATAGGTAGCATCATTAAAAATTTTTAAAATATCTAAAATTTTTGCACAAATCTCCCAATTTTGTGGATATAAGTTAATATCCTCAATATTATTAGTAACAAAAAAACATAATAATTCTTTATAAGAAAAAGACTAGTTTAGTAATTTATATGTTGAATTCCAACGAGTTGGGACATCCCTTGGAAAACGTTTTGGTCTTTTATTATTTTCTTTACAAAATTTAGCCCAACTTTTAACTGTTTCATGCAACTTGGAGATTGTCCATAAAATATGAATAGCTGTTTGTTTAAAGTTGGAGAAGAAATAAAAAGAATCAAGAAGTTTTCAAACCATTTCTTGTCACAGTAAATTGTAAAACATGGCAGCACATCTTATAGTGAAAAAAATTTACACCAATATTTGGTTCAACAAAT